TATTTTACTAAAAAATTCATTAATGATGTAATTTCTTATTATATTATAATTTTGAATTCATCAAAAGTATAAAAGATAAACCTTTTATTATTTTTATAAAAAAATTATCAATATTTTGAAAAATTATTATTTTGTTATATATATATATATATATATATTTATATATATATATATATATATATATATATATATATATATATATATATATATCTTGCATGTAAATATCCTAATAGTATCTTTATATTATTAGACTTTTCACTATGGAGTTATGAGTTTATTTATTACTAGAATTTCCTACATGGCGCAGATTGATTATCTCCTCCTCAAGAGATGTGATAAAGATTTGTGCAAGAATTGCAAGGTTATCACGAATGAGTCCCTCGCGGCACATCATAGGCTCTTGGTAATGGACGTCGGCATCATGATAAAAAGGAAGAAGCGGGTTGTTAGGGTCTCACAAGGATCAGGTGGGGAGCCTTGTCTAAGGATAAAGCGCAGGAGTTCGAGAGGAAGTTGATGGCTAAGGGGTCTTGGAGGAGTAGGGGGACGCGAGTGCTATGTGGTCAATGACGGCGAACTTTATTAGGGAGGCTGCGAGAGAGGTGTCAAGGGTCTTGAAAGGTTACTCCGGTGGGCACAAATGAGACTGGTGGTGGAATGAAGAGGTCCAAAGAAAAGTAGAAACAAAGAAAATGACGTACTGGAAGTTAGTAGAGAGCATTGAGGTGGAGGAGAGAAGGGCGAAGAGAGTAGAGTATAAGAAAGCTAGGGAAGAGGCGAAGTTAGCAGTCACGGAGGCCAAGAATGCGGCATTTAGTCATTTGTATGAAGAATTGGGGGATAGAGGTGGGGACAAGAAGTTATTTCGGTTGGCTAAGGCGAAAGAAAGAAAGGCTTGTGATATGGATCAAGTGAGATGCATCAAAGATGAGGAATGCAAAGTGTTAATGGAAGAGGCTCAGATTAAGCGAAGATGACACACATACTTTCATAAACTTATGAATGAAGAGGGGGACATAGACATTGTGTTGGGTGAATTGGAGAAATCCGAGAGTTGCCGTGATTTTAGATATTCTAGGAGCATCAAGGTTGAGGAGCTCGTCGGGTCTATGCATAAGATGATTAGGGGCAGAGCTACCGGACAAGATCAATTTCTTATAGAATTTGGAGGTGTGTGGGTAGAGAAGGCTAAGAGTGGTTGACCGGGTTATTTAACGTTATCTTTAGGATGAAGAAGATGTCTGAGGAATGGAGGTGGAGTATGATGATTCCATTATGTAAGAACAAAGGTGATATCAAAAATTATAAGAACTATAGGGGTATAAAGTTGCTTAGCCATACTATGAAAGTGTGGGAGATGGTGGTAGAAGTGAGGGTGCGGAGGTCAGTGTCTATATCCGAGAACCAATTTGGATTCATGCATGGTCATTCAACTACAGAAGCTATCCATCTTATTAGGAGGATGGTGGAATAGTACAGGGAAAGATTTGCACATAGTATTTATTGACCTAGAGAAAGCATATGACAAGGTCCCCAGGGAGGTTCTTTGGAGGTGCTTGGAGGTAAAAGGCATTCTGGTTGCATACATTAGGGTGATTAAGGATATGTATGATGGAGTTAAGACTCGGGTTACGGCAGTGGGAGGAGACTCAGAACATTTTCCGGTGGTTATGGGGCTATACCAAGAATTTGCGCTCAGCCCATTCTGATTTGTAGTGTCGATGAACGCACTAACCCACTATGTTCAAGGGGAGTTGATTTGGTGTATGTTATTTGCTGATGGTATAGTTTTGATTGATGAGACAGGAGGCGGTGTTGAAGAGAGGTTAGAGGTTTTAAAACAGACACTTGAGTCTAAAGGTTTCAAGTTGAGTAGGAGAAAGACAAAATATTTGGAGTGCAAGTTCAACGATGTCATGAGGGAAGCAAACATGGATGTAAGGCTGGATTCACGAGTCATCCCCAAGAGAAGAAATTTCAAGTATCTTGGGTCAGTTATCCAGGGGAATGGGGAGATCGGCGAGGATGTCACACACCATATTTGGGCAGAGTAGATGAAATGGAGGTTGGCATCAGGCGTCTTGTGTGACGAGAAGGTGCCACCGGAACTTATAGGTAAGTTCTATAGAATGGTGGTTAGATCGGCCATGTTGTATGGGGCAGAGTGTTGGTTGGTCAAAAATTCCTATGTACAGAAGTTGAAAGTAATAGAAATGAGGATGCAGAGATAGATGTGCCCACACAGGTTGGATAAGATTATGAATACAGATATTCGCGTGAAGGTGGGCGTGGCCTCCCTGGAAGATAATATGCGAGAAGCGAGGCTCAGATGGTTCGGGTACATGCATAGAAGAAGCGTAGATTCGCTGGTGAGGAGGTGGGAACGGTTAGCCTTGGCGGGTGTGGGGAGAGGTAAAGGGCAGTCTAACATGTATTAAAGAGAGGTGATCAGGCAGGACATGGCGGGACTCCAGCTCACTAAGGACATAGCCCTTGATAGGAAGGTGTGTAGGTCGAGCATTAAGGTTGCAGGTTAGAATATAGTTGAGCATTTTCCTACTCCATATGGGGTATAAGGCTAGTCTGTTAATATCCTTTTTTCGTTTGCTAGTGATACGTGTTGTGTTCTTATTATTTTTCAGCTCCGGTTTCCTAGTATCCTGCTGTTGATTACTGATATTGCTTTTTCCATTTGTTTTTCTGATTCTATCTTTATGGCTTTTGTTGCCGTCACTGTTCTGTTGTCTCTTTTTATCTTCTTGTCCTGAGGGTAGCCTCTCTACCCCGCAGGGTAGAGGGAAGGTCTGCGTACACACCGCCCTCCCCAGACCCCACTTGTGGGATTATACTGGGTTATTATTGTTGCTTGAAATTCACTAGGTTTGATTGTTGTTGTTGATTTTTGCTTGAAATTCATTGTTTTTTTCAAAGTATTTTTCCTTTATGATTATTTGCTTATTATGGTTTAGTTATGTGTATATGTACGACTTTTCTCATCATAATTCTAATCATAAGTCTTATATTTTTATATTTTCCCATAATTTTTTTGTTCCTTGTGGTCCAGCGCTTTCAGGACCCCGCATAACGGAAGCTTAGTGCACTTTGCTGCCCTTTTTCTCTTTTGTTCCTTACTTATCTCATTGTATTATCCATTATTTATTATTATTAAACTTCAAATGAATTATTATTAAATTACCAGTTTCATATAATACAATAAATATAATTTTGTATTACTCTTGATTTTAAGTTGAGAATTCCTCGTAATTATTTTGATATTTAACTTTATCAATAATATTTTCAATTATTATTTTCTTACGTAATTTTATCAAATAAATTTAAAGTGGTGATAGAATCACATTATATCTATTCTTCTCTTTATACATTAGTTTTATATATATATATATATATATATATATATATATATATATATATATATATATATATATATATATATATATATATATGTATAGAGAGAGAGAGAGACTACCATATTAGGAAGAAACTACCCCCAAATTCGATTTGGAAGTTTTTTTATTTTTTTATTTTTGTTTTTTATTCTAAATAAATTTTAAAACGTCAACTTGAAACTACTCCCTAATTTGAATTGGTAATTATTTTTTTCGTTTTGTTATTTTAAGATATTATAAAACTCCAATTGTGTTGGAGCTTTGTCCTAAAAACCTACACTTATCATCTTATAGTTATGCCACTTGGCTTAATATGGTGACTTTGTCCCTCCTTTTATTATATATAAATATTTGTTACCTTAGAATATGATTGATTCTTTCTGTACAAGAAACAATTAAATCGCTTTATTCTTTTGTCTAATTAAGATAAATTAGCTCATGCATAAAGGAATAATATTGACAATTTTATTCCCATTTGAGTTGGTATCAGAGCAGTTCTCTAAATTTTCCTCTTATACATTAATATATATATAAAGAGACTACTTTTAGATTGCTTCAGGCAAATAGTAAGGATTGCTTACTATTTGAACATCAAAAGTAGTAAAGATTGCTTTAGAAGAACAAAGGCTTAAATTGTTGTACTATTTTAAATTGTATGCTTTAATATGATGTTATTATAGTTATTTATTTGTTCACCATTTTTTTTTACTTATAAATAAAATGACACCGCTTATAAAATATCATGTATACATCACTGGATACTCCATATTCTTTTCACGGTAACTTGTCCATAATGGACTTTGCTCTCTCTTAAGAAAACTCGAGCAATTTATGCAAATACCCATTGAGCTTAAAATAGTTACCATTTCCTACCTATTTAAAGACTAGTTATAATATATATCAACCCAATTAAAACTAATTATCCCTACCTACCCACCCATCCCAACTTTTTTTTATCCATTTGGCTTAGCTTAGCTTGATTTGGCTTGGTTTTGTTTGGCTTCGCTTGAATCGTTTTGGCTTGGATTGACTTGATTTGATTTGGCTTGGCTTGACTTGGCTTGGCTTGATTTTGGTTGAATTGGCTTGGCTTTGGCTTGAATTGGCTTGGTTTATAGTAGCTTAATTTAACTTTATTTGGCTGGATATTAAAAAAAATGGACAGGAGCATGTAAATAGTTTCATGTGCATGGGTATTTGCTAAGCTTCCCTAAAGAAATACTCTCTCCGATCCGCCTTAATGGAATTTTTGGTCTTAGCTTCTTTTTTATGGTCTACGCTATTTGATTTTTTTCAAATATTAAAAATGAATTAACTTCTTTTTAATTGTGATTCAAACTCGTACACTACGAGAATGTTGCTAGCAATTGTGACAGCTTCAAAATTTTGAAAAACCGGCACAAAATTAATGATTTAATATACATTTTAAATTGTTGGACTATTTATTTTAATATAATGATTATGAATCATAAACCGAGTGTGTTCAAATTCACGTGTAGAGCACGTGAGGAAGGTGTTAGTTGTAGGCTGGCGCCAAACAAAACTGAAGTTCGTTATTCAAGAATAAGAGAGTGATGACTCCGAAGCCTACTCTTTATCTTCCCAACATTTCTTATCATATTTCCTCCCAAAAAAAAACCCTAATTCCTCCTTTTCTTATGAAACTTGCAGAAATTCGTCATATCCCACCCGGATTAATTAAGGAAATTATGAACCCCAAGAACGAATTATAAAAGTTGAAGAAGGATCAAGAGAGAAAATAAGAATCTAAGATTCACTTACTAGGTAAAATGTTTTAATTCAGAAAAATCCCACAGCAAAATGTTCATTTCTTACTTTTTGGCCAATAGAGTTTGGATGTTTTAATTTGAGGCAAATCCCAGATCGACATGTATTTCTTGTTTTTTTTGGTCATCTGTTTCTGGCCTAAAGCTTTGATTTTTGGAGTTACTTTACTGACGTTAATCTTGTTATAATTGTGATTTCTAATTTTATATTTTTCTCTTTTAGAGATTCTGCTTGGGGAAAAAGTTGAAAAGTATTGCCGGTACCGCCCCGAAAATATATAAGGCGGCTCCTTTATAGGAGGGCATTGGCATGAAACTGTTGTTTGCTTCAGGTAATGATTTTTTATTACAGATTCATTTATCGCAGATATTTTTCATTTCATAATGTATACGGTAAAAGTCGAGGATACCCAATTCTACGGGTCCGAGGGTATGTCTCGAGAGTAAGTCGATATCGAAACAAGTTCCGGCTAAGAGAATATGAAGACTAAGGGATCGAGATCAGGCTAAATCGATACCACAGTAACAGGATCGCGAGATATCCGCGATCGACCACCGATCTCAGCGAGAATCTCAGGACCGATAGAACCATTAATGGTTAATGATATCAATCGTGTATTTTATTTCCGAAATTAGAGTCACACCCTATTTAGGATTCCTCTGCTATATAAAGAGGAATGCTGTTCATTTGTACTAGAGGATATCATCATATACAAATTATCTCATATGCTACTACTGAGAAATACAAGCACTTTGCTCTTTTACTTACTCTTAATTCCAGGCTGTTCTGACCGTTCATATTGTTCGTGTTGTTCTTGTTACTCGTACTTTCCTTGGCACTTGATCTCGAAGTCTAATCCAGATCGGGGTCGATAACTTGCAATTACACGGGTTTGATCCATTTAAATCGTTTAATTCCTTTATTTATCTAGCTATTTATCAATTAGCATTGAATTAGATCACGTATCATTATAACCACATTACAAGTTTAATTGTTACTCGTATTTTGAGGTAAACAGTTTGGCGCCCACCATGGGGTTAAGGATAATAGTGATTGTTCAGTGTTAATTCTAGTATAACACACTATTTTACGCTTGTTTCTTGTCAAGTATTTTGTTTTCAGGATAAATCATGTCAAACTCATAAAACACAGCTACTCATAGTGATAACGGTCTCGGACTCCACGGACAGAACTGGAATATTATAACTCCAGGAATCGAGGTGCCACAAGCTGACCTCAGAGGAGCACCACCCGTCAACCCGGTCGATGTCAGTTCACATATTGCTCTGAATACGGACTTAGGCGGGGACCCCGATGGAAGCGTACGCAGAGAGGGTCAAACTAACGATCGAGGTACTCAGGGCAGGGGAGACGAAGGTGTCAATCTCCAAATTATATTTGAAATGCTGCAAGCCCAACAGAACGCTATAGCACAGTTGCAAAATCAGCACATGGCACCGAATAGGGTCAAACAAGAGGTTACTCGCCGTACCGAGCCAGTGCCCGAAAGATCAGGTGACAATACTTCGACAACTGACCCTACTATAATGAGAATGCTCGAGGAGCTTACTAAGAGAATAGAGTCGGGAGAAAAGAAAATCGAGGCAAACGACAAGAAGGTGGAGACCTACAATTCTCGAGTCGATCAGATTTTGGGGGCACCACCAATCTTAAAAGGAATGGACTCCAAAAATTTTGTGTCCCTCCGAGTGCGGCTCCAAAGCCCACACCAAAGAAGTTCAGGATGTCCGATATACCTAAATACAACGGGACGTCGGACCCCAATGAGCACGTTACCTCTTATACATGTGCCATAAAAGGAAATGATTTGGAAGACGATGAAATCGAATCTGTACTGCTGAAGAAATTCGAGGAGACTCTATCTAAGGGTGCCTTAATATGGTATCATAACTTACCCCTAATTCTATTGATTCGTTTGCTATGCTTGCAGATTCTTTTGTAAAGGCATACGCCGGAGCCATAAAAATTGCAACAAGGAAGTCGGGCCTTTCAAGGTAAGGCAGAAAAATAACGAGGCGCTTAGGGAATTCGTATTCCCACCTGCTGGGACCAAACTAGGTTTGCTGCTGTTGTTGTTGTTCAGGGAATTCATATCTCGGTTCTAAGCGGAGAGAATGGATTTTCCTCCGGTCACCGATGACTGGGTTGTTCAAGCTTTCACTCAAGGTCTCAACACTCGGAGTTCCATAGCTTCACAGCGGTTGAAGCAAAGTTTAATCGAGTACTCGGCTGTCACTTGGGCCGACGTACATAATCGGTGTCAGTCGAAGATTAGGGTCGAGGATGATCAACTGGGGACTCCTTCGGGGTTCGTTTATCCTAGCAGGTCCTTAAATAGGATCAAAAGGGACATCAATCGAGGGTCGAGGTTGAATAGAGATCGATATCAACCGTACAATGGAGACTATAGAGGCAGCGGATCCGGGTAAAGCTTCGCACGAAATGAGAGCAGAAATGATCGAGGTCGAAATTCACGGGGTCCTGATGCCGAGGAAGATCACGTTAAGTATCCAAAATCCAAATAAAGGTACAACCCCAGTCCAATCGTTTCTATTTTTTCGACTAACACTTGCAGGCTATCGACAAGGATCGGCACAAAGCTTTGGATCTTAAAGCACGTGTTGCACTCTTTTTCCCTTAGACCGGTTTTTGTCCCAAATGGGTTTTTCCGGCAAGGTTTTTAACGAGGCAACCATTGTTCGTGCTAACTTAGAGCAATTTAACGGTATCCGGGGTTCCCTACAATAAGCCTCGAGTACTGGGGGGCATTACCCTCGAATATTTACTTTGTTTCAAGGAAATCACTTTGTGACAACGGGGTCTTGATAGGAAAATGTTGTAAGGGTCAAACGATCAGATGAACCGTGCCCGTATAGGTTACTCCGACCCTAACATCAAACACGCGCGCATGTATAATCATCTATTGAGAGAAATATTTTTCCTTGCCGATATCCCCTGCCTTTAGAAAAATTTCATATTTTATACTCTTGATCTACTGTGTAAACAGGCTTAAGGGCCGACCACGACGGAAGTTCGAACAACTGACCCTATGCTTGAGGACTTCCGTCCCAAAAACAAACGGAATCAAACTACTAACATTTCGAGGCCATGAGACCTTAAAGGCAATCCTCGGCTTTACAGGCCACGGCCACGGCCACCCCACTCGGGGACTGACATTTCGGGCAAGCTCAAAGTGAAACGGAAGATAAGCCCAAAGGGCAAGTTCCGAACTAAAGAAGCTACGGCCAAATTAACGCGGATCGAAGACGTCCGAAATCCGTAACAAATACAAAAGCCCAAGGGCTATCATAACCCGAGTTCGAGCAAACTCTCACTCAGGGACTATCTATGAAGCCTAAGGACTAACTTTACTTCGATTTCGAGCAAATCCTCACTCGATCATAAAGGCCCAAGGGCTATATTAACCCAAGTGCAAGCATAACTCGAACACTCGGGGACTACCGACTCGAGCTATCTAAGTTCGAAATCATAAGACTTCAAAGAGGCACTCCCCGATATACAGGTCAAGGCCATCACATTCGGGGACTAACATTTCGAACAAGTTCGAAATGTAATCAGGAAACAAGTCCAAGAGACATAGCCGAAGGCTACGTCCATATAAAGACTACGGTCATAAAAAAGGGCTACAGCCGAAATAATGCGGCTCGGAGACGTCCGACTTCCGCCATAAAATAAAGGCCTTTAAACACTTCGAAAAACGGTTAAATAAGGCTACCCTCGGAAAGCAAACAAAAAAGGGCTTCGATATAATCAGCCCTCGAATAATTTAAAGGCTTCAGTAATATCAGCCTTCGAAAAAGCCTCAAGAGGTTTTGAATTATCTTAACACAAACGATTTAAGGAAAAATTGGGTTCCGATCATTGAACCCTCGAAAAGCCCAACGGGTACAAAAAACACATGCTAAGGCATAAAGACATTTTTATCGAGTCTTTTAGCCGAAAAGAGGAAAAACTTATAGCCGTTTTAGAGGCCGAATTGGCCCAACTTAAAGAGCCTAAGGGCCGACCTTAAAGAGCCTAAGGACCGATCTAAAGAGCCTAAGGGCCAATATAAAAAAGCCTAAGGGCTAACTTTACTTCAAGTTCGAGCAAATCCTCACTCGATCATAAAAGCTCAAGGGCTATCCCACCCGAGTTCGAGCAAACTCTCACTCGGGGGCTATCTATAAAGCCTAAGAGCTACTCAAACTCTAGTTCAAATGGTCATTCGGGGTCCACCGATCTCGGTCGAAAGAACAAAGCCCCGAGTATGGATTTCTTCAATAGGTCTCCCTCTGAGACCAACACTTGGTGCGCTCCTTAGCCCGAACCTAAGCGGTTTCCCTTTGCGGAACAGTTTTAGATGTTTTGGCCATTTTGTTTTCGTGAGCAAGGAAGAATGGAGATTGAAATATTTGATATTTTCGGAGGAACAAGCAAAGAAGCTCGTAGACTCAAATCGTTTCTTATCATTTCATTCTAAGAAATGCGAGGACTATCTGTATACGGTAAAAATCGAGGATACCCGATTCTACGGGTTCGAGGGTATGTCTCGAGAGTAAGTCGATATCGAAGCAAGTTCGGGCTAAGAGAATATGAAGACTAAGGGATCGAGATCAGGCTAAATCGACACCACAGTAATAGGATCGAGAGATATCCGCGATCGACCACCGATCTCAGCGAGAATCTGGGGACTGCTAGAACCATTAATGGTTAATGATATCAATCATGTATTTTATTTTCGAAATTAGAGTCACACCCTATTTAGGATTCCTCTGCTATATAAAGAGGAATCCTATTCATTTGTACTAGAGGATATCATCATATACAAATTATCTCATACGTTAATACTGAGAAATACAAGCACTCTGCTCTTTTACTTACTCTTAATTCCTGGTTGTTCTGATTGTTCATATTATTCGTGTTATTCTTGTTACTCTTACTTTTCTTGGCACTTGATCTCGAAGTCTAATCTAGATCGGGGTCGATAACTTGCAATTACACGGGTTTGATCCATTTAAATCGTTTAATTCCTTTATTTATCTAGCTATTTATCAATTAGCATTAAATTAGATCATGTATCCTTGTAACCACATTACACGTTTAATTGTTACTTGTATTTCGAGGTAAACACATAAATACAACAAACCAAGTAATTTTCCACAAGTGGGGTCTGAGAAGGACAAGATGTACGCAGCCTTACCCCTACCCTACAAGGGCAGAGAGGTTGTTTCCGATAGACCCACGGCTGGAGAACGGACGACAAAAGCAATGGCAACAAGAGAAATAACAGCAAGATAAAAAAATGCCGAAGCCAAGAAAGCAGTTAAACTCTAGGTAGTAATAGCAACCTATGAATAAAAGGATATCATACTAACACTAATGCTAGCGAACTGAGAAAGACAAAGAGATACACTCGACTACCTACTAGCATTCTATCTTAATTCTCGACCTCCACACCCTCCTATCTAGGGCCATATCCTCAGTCAGCTCCAGATGCGCCATGTCCCGCTTAATAACCTCGCCCCAAGACTTCTTACGCCTACCTCTACCCCTCCGGATACCCACTGAGGCTACCCTCTCGCACCTTCTAACTGAGGCTTCTATACTTCTCCTCTTTAACATGCCTGAACCATCTCAACCTCGCCTCCCACATCTTTTCCTCCACAGGAGCCACCCCCACCTTATCCCGAATAACTTCATTCCTAATCTTATCCAACCTGGTATGCCTACACATCCACCTTAACATCCTCATCTCAGCTACTTTTATCTTCTGGACATGAGTGTTCTTGATAGGCCAACACTCTGTTCCATACAACATAGTTGGTCTAACTACAACCTTGTAGAACTTACCTTTAAGTCTCAGCTGCACATTCTTATCACACAAGACACCGGAACTTACCTTTCATTTCATAAATGACTTTCTTTTTTGTTTGAAAAGTGATCTTGATTGAAGTAAAAATGGAGAAAAAATGATAGGATCAATATGGACTTAGCTAAATCCATGTAGGAGATACCAACAAATTTGTTTAAGTAGTAGTTGTTGTTTCACTTACATTAAGTCAAATGTTGTTAGTATTATTGGGAACTCGTGCGTCAGTGGGGGGATAAGTGTAAGATCTAGAGAAACTCTGGTATCATAGATTCCTTTTTTTCTTTTTTGCAATAAGTGAGAATTATTTCACAGTATCGGATTGACATGGACACGAGTAGAGCTAAATGTATATTAAGGATTCATATTTCTCTCAATTTATTTGGGATTGAAAATAAACATTGATCGAATAAGCTGATAAGTTTATGAAAAGTTTCTGTCAGTACTTTGTTTCAATTTCTAGAAGCATCAGGAAGTTTTAATCAGGATATATAGTAAGGTCGTCATGGTACAGCTTGAATTGAAAAATGATAACACATTAAACTATAGAACTGGTTTTTTTAAGACAGCTCCAGTCTGGGATGCCGAGTAAACATGCAAACTTTGTCTCATTGGTCTTTCTAAATGAAGTTCACTTTCCAAGTGCATTCTGTTATGTTTGATTGACAGGTTCTAGAACAAAATAGTCATTTTTGGTTTATGTCATTAGTGTTTGCCGCAAATTCTAAGACTGTTGGGTTCATTTACATTCAAGCCTCTTGTTGCTCACTGTGATTTGCTGATTTATTCTCTATCTTCCCTTTTAGAGAAATTTTTATTCGGTGGTTATAGATTCTGTTGCCAAAATGGTGGAACTGCTGGTTGCACATCGGCTATATTCATCTGATGCAGCTCCATTTGTAGGACGATATTGGCATTAAAAAGTGGTATTTGCATTAGGTAATGGTTCTGAGTTATAGATCATTGTATGGAGATGATTCCATTTCATGAATGACTTTTGTTTATATTTTACTATGTTAGAAAAAATTTGATAGAAATACGTAGATAAATGTGATGAGAAGTTTCTGTCAATCCCTTCTTCCAATTTTCTTTTTATGTCGATGAGCAAATGGAAGCATCGGGAAGTTTAGGTCAAGAGCATAAGATGGTAGTTACTGGTAGATAGTTATGTGTAAATAGTCCTAGTCCTATATGTAGTAGGAGTAGAATATGTCTTAGTCCCATATGTAGTAGGAGTAGAATATGTCATAGTCTCATATGTAGTAGGAGTAGAATATGTACTATATACAGGGCTCATTATATCATTGTTAAAAAAAATAGGTTTTTCTCCTGTGTATTCTCACATGGTATCAGAACTTTAGTAAGAAAATTATCGTTGTGCGTCATCCTAGCGACATCCAGGAAGAAAGATCTCATTGTCCGGCAATTTTCCGGCAACTTCGTCTTGTTCCCAGGGTTCATCATTGATGCAGTAGTACTGTGCATATACCAGTACCACCATCAGATCTCTTGTGCAACCAATCCCTAGAAAGTCCAGTCCCATCTGAACAGAAAAGTGAGTCACCGCGTGTCTTTCCGGTTGACGACTCAAGATTGATTTGCGTTATGTCCTCATCAGGAAGCGTTGTGTGAAAACCAACACTACATCTTGTTCGAAAAAGTCAAGCGACAAAACTCTAGCCAATCGCTCCGACAGAAAGTCATACGCCTCCACGCGCCGCCACAACTAGGGTTCCGGCGAGCTACATTAACTTTTTCGGTGCGTGTGAGTCATTCCGACCATTTTTTGACAAAACTTGTTTAGAGCGTAACCATATAAATTACATTAAATTCTGACAATTCTTATTTTCTCCGGCGTGAACAGTGTAATTTCCGGCGTGAACAGTGATTTCCCGGTGTGAACAGTAATTTCCGAAAATAGAAACTGTTTTCTGGTGGTGTTTTAGAACATATTTTGTAGTGTGGAATTCGTCTTAGTCTCTCTATTTTCAAATTTTTCCGGCAACCTTTCGTCCAACTTCTGCTTATCAGCAACCACTTGGTTTTGTTGCTCAAGGGGAGCCTAGTGGCTTTGTTTGTCGAATGATCAGCTTGCAGATATTTTCACCAAGTCCTTCACTGGTCCTCGTATTAATTACATATGTAACAAGCTCGGTACATATGATTTGTATACACGGGCTTGAGAAGGAGTGTTAGATAGTTTTGTGTAAATAGTCCTAGTCCTATATGAAGTAGGAGTAGAATATGTCCTAGTCCCATATGTAGTAGGAGTAGAATATGTATTATAATTAGGGCTCATTGTATCATTGTTAAAAAATTAAATTTTTATCTCGTGCATTCTCACAGTTACAGTACATAGATTGTCAATTAACAATATGATCACATATTGAACTTTAAAGCTTCTTGAAAGTAGGCCGAGTAAACCTGCAAACATTATGTCATGGGTCTTCCAAATGAAGTTCACTTTCCATGCAGAGGCGGACACAGCCTTTGTTCAATTGAATCCACTAGTTTCGTGAAAAATGGCTAAAACTTCGACAAATATTATACTCTGAACCCGTAATTCCGGGAGTACAATAAGTTCAATCAAATAGCTTTAAATTCTGAATACGCCTCTGTTTCCATGTGCATTCTATTTTTGAATGAACCTAGGAAAAGGCGGCCATTAATAATCAGGAGTTTGACCTAGGTGCTTCGTTTTTGCCTGATATGGTGCTCGTTGCGAGTGTTACATTGCTTCTCTTTAACAACAAATTAATCTCATCTCTAATACCGATCATATTAAGATTGACTGGACTCTATTTGTGCATCTAAACAAGTTGATGGTTTTCTACAGGTGATTTTTAGCTTTATTCTAGGCATGGACCCTAAATATGGAAGTGGAACCTGTAACCATTCTCGAACAGATACAGTGGTTACTGAAAATGAAACTGAGGCCAGTTCACCAATAATCTTTCTCCTGGATTCTAAAAATGAGAGTGAAAGCAGAACAAGTTCAGATGCCATCTTAAATGAAAGTACTTCAGGATCAAGTAAAAGTTCAGAACTTTCCCGTTCCATATTTTCATCCTCATCTGGTTCTTCCTCGGGTGATTTCATCTTAGTGAATCCAAAAATAGCATCCAACTCTATCTCATTAGATGTACCATCTTCTAGGGATGCCAAACCTTTATCCCAAGATGACTACAATGGTTTGAATGGTATGTTCTGTAAATTGGAACTGAATACATCAACAAGCTCCACCTCGCAGATTTCAGACATCTCTGATGAATCTTTATTGCCAACAGTGTCAATTACAAAATCTCCTTCTATCCAAATGATGGAAAGGCAAGGAGGCTATGATCCCAAAAGAGTTCCGTCTTCTATTTTTGGAAGTAAATCGTCAACACCTAAGGAATGGAGTGCTGCCTCTGATGAGTCATTGTTTAGTATCAACGTCAGTCTTTCGAGGGATCATATTCTATTGATGGGTGGAGATATCTGGAAGTCAGGGGAACTTCATAAATCTGGGGAACTAAAAAACAAGTGTGTAGAATTAGACAGATCTGAAGAAGTTAGCAAGTCCGGCAAGCTAATTAGCTTTAGGGACTCTCCAACTGTAAAAGGAGGAAAACATACGGAAAAGATCTGTGATACAGAAAGAGGTGTGGTAACTGGAAACAACTTTATTGAAGCAGGAAGTCAACATGAACCAATTAAGAAAGAACTCCATTTTGAAGAGGAAATAAAAGTAGGACGGAACGCAGAATATTCAACTACCATTGGCTATTCCAAAGGGAATGAAGGGTTTAGAGACTCCTACAGCACAATTCACCATTCTGACGGGAGTAGTACATCTTTAGCTTTTCCAGTGTGAGTACCAGTTCCCATCTTTTTCTGCTATTCACTAAAAGAAGCATCTGCTTTGTTTTCCCATCTTTTTTTTTTCTATTGAGTAAAAGAAGCATCGGCTTAATTCTTATAGTTAATTGTTTAGCACATGTACATTATTTTTCCTTCTATTTCCCTAAGTCATACAAAATATCTTGCTTCATTAATTATGTATGTTGCAGTGTACATTTAATTTCCTGTGAGCATCACCAATATAGCGGTCAAGTCAATCTAACTTGTCTTTCAAGTTAAAATGTCTTTCATTCTCGTGTCTCCAATTTACATGCACTACATGAGTGATTATTGGTGATTTTAGAGTTCAACAACAGATCTAAACATATCAAAGAATGCTGCAAAGCATAGCGTGGAACGTGTGCAACATCAAAACCATGCAGTTTAGCTTGAGCGATCCAATTGAAAGTTCTATTGATTGTTGTCCTAGTTAAAAATAAACAATACATATATTCTTAGTTTAATTGTACCCACATAGAGACCGTTTCTCTTTCTTTTTATACAGTTTCTAATTTCTCCACCTCATCCACTAGATCTTTTCTGAAATTAAGAATTATAGCCGTTCAAGTGTGTTTAAGGGTTCGGTTTGGGTCTGGTGTTTGTAGGTTTCTTTGATCACTTACTCATTAATGTCTCATAAGCACAGTGTTTTTGGGATTCTATTGCTCTTGAGTTCCAAATAATATATTAACCTCTTTTTCTATCTTATGGGCATGCAAGTTTAAGATGTCATTTATTTCCAGATATATGGAGCTCGCAATCATGTGTTTTAGTGTTTAAGGAATATAAAATTGTTTATTGCAGAAGTGGGAAGTCCACCGAACCTTTCTGCCATATTGTTTATTACACAAGAAAGAAGTCCATATGGCCATTGTGCTTCTATTCCTATTGTAGCTGCGGGTCTTGCTGCTCTAGGTGGCCAAGCAGTTGCTTTAAGTGCTCAGGCTGCTTATCTTGTAAGTGGTCAAGCTGGATTTGTTGCTCTTGTAAGTGGTTAAGTTGGTCTGGTTGCTGCCATAAGTTGCCGAGTAGATAGGGATGCTGCTGAAACTAATCAAGCTGCTACTTTTAGCATCCAACGTAGCCCAGCAGAGGCGGATCTAAGGTGGGTCGTGTGGTTCAAGTGAAATCATTGCTTTCTGCTCGAACAATGCATACATATAGAAACAAATTTTAATATGTACAATCACACCCATTCTGAATGATTAGTCCTGTGACTCTAGATCCTGGATCCGTCGTGTCATGTGTTCTATGTCACCAAGCAGCTGCTACAAGTGTCCAACCTGACCTAGCTGCTGCTCTAAGTACTGGAAAAGCTGTGGGTGCCACTGTTTTTAGCATTTGGCTGCTAGGCTAACTGTAAATGGAAAGAACATTGTTGCTCAAAACAATTCCTGACAGCATTCATAAGGCATCCTATAAATCACGAGACGGATAGCAGCCAACGATGCATATTGGTTCAGCATCAAACAATCCAGCCAAAATGTGGAGCTTAATGATATGTAGCTGATCACTGAACATTGTCCAATTTTTTGATCTTGCTAGTGTACATATTAGTAGGTGATTGAGTTTAGACATCATGTTTTGCCTCACACGATTTGGTCCACTGTGCATACATTTCTTTCCTCCATTAAGTTAAGAGAAGAAGAAGTGGGAGAAAGGCTAGGAGGACTAAGGAAACTGGAAAATAACTTGACCTGCTGAGTAATAATCCACCATAGCATATCATAGAATCAGATGGAGGCTAACTTACATTCTCTGAATATCTATTTGCTCATGTTCATACAGTAGTGGAAGATAAACACATATAACCTTGCTCTGATACAAATAAAGGAATTAAAATTTGGAGATTATAATATACCTTGTTATAAGATCGGTTGTGTGTTACCACCTCCAATTGCCTAGTTGTTTCCTACAGGATCACTTGTGGAGTCTTGTAGCTTTTTAGCCTAAAGGTTTTCAGTCTCAACTTTTTCTGGTGTAAAGAAAGGTCTCGAGTCACTTCCTTTTATAGGTAAAACAGTGTGACTTTTAACTCCATTTCATTCAAGAGTTTCTTCTTTTACCATATGGAGTTATATATTGGAGGTACAATTCACTTGCATAAATATAACAAGTTATGTATGGAGTTATAACTTATCTCCATGAATGAAGCAAGTTATGGGTCAGCCCATCATGGTATACCAAATTATAACATAAATGTCAAATAATAGCCACCTTTTTCTTTTGATAAAGTATTACTAGTATTTTACTTAAAAGACACCTTCAAACCAGTATTTCACCTTAAATTAAGTTTAAAACTTCATAGTCAAACTAGTACGCATTTGCAAATACTGAAATATCGATTAATTGCCAAACGGATTAAACGAAGAAGAAAAAAAAAAAAAAAGATTTGTTGTAGCTATGTATTAGTTGGGCTTTTTCTGAATACTACTTTTTAAATAATTGGAAGGTCAACATTGTACTGCGCTTCTAGATTGACTTCAGAATTCAACTCCTTCACAGTCATTGTTCCAATTGATCAAACAATTTGTTGGAACTTTCATTTCTCTAACACCTTCTATTTCCTCTCAAACATATAAAACCTTTCATGTTGAAAACTTGTCCCTCAAACACAATCAAAGAAAATGGGGAATTCATTGGCATGTTTCTCTCAAAGTCAAGCTATCAAAAGAAACAAAACTAGAGCTAAATCATCACAAAGTCTTCCTCCTCCATATTTTCCTGGCTCATCAGCTAGTCAAAGATCAGATAAAATATTTCTAAAGGAGACTAGTATTGATACTGATTATATAAAAGAGCAAGCTCGAGTTGCTGCAGCCTTGCTTCTCCAACACCATCAACAAAATGGAACACTTACTCAGTTTGAATCTCTACGGGACCCTTTAGCAACATCTAAAAGGCAAAAGAGGATTCCCAGAAGTTCAAGTTCAAGTTCACGTCCGAGTTTACTCGCTGATTCTCTGCCCCAGCACCTGGAGATTCCTAAGCAGGTCTTGCTTTTTTCTTGCCCTCAAAATTAATTCTAAGATCTATTTTGAGATTTCATTAAATAAGAGGACTAAAATTAACATATAGCTGTTTTATAAATTATTGGAATTTCATGTGTACTGAAAACTCACCAAGAAATATTATTTAAACAGTTTTGAGAAACATATTCACCTTTTCTTGAGCCGAGGGTCTATCAGAAACAGCCTCTCTACCTCACCAGGTAGGGGTAAGGTCTGCGTATACTCTACCCTCCCCAAATCTCACTTGTCGGATTATACTGGTTATGTTGTTGTTGTAGTTTTGAGAAACATACTTGCTATCTTTTTCTTTCAGAGTATAAAAATATAGGCAGCATCTATTTTTATGGGAACTGAGACTGAAGAGCAAATTAGTGTACAAGAGACTAAAAGATAATGTTTTTACTAAGCAAAGGGGCAGAGTTGAAGTCTCAATACTCATATGGTCTTGGTGTTTAAGCCTTGCTAGTAGTAGCAGAATATTCAAATGCTAGTTTTGTACTTCATCTCATTCTCCTTATGTGCATAATCTTTGATAGTTTGGCTGATGAACTTTTTTTGTAATTCCCAGTAAAGATACTGTTACCTATTTCTCGAAACAAATTAATTACTAATCTAAAGAGTAAGAATCAAATCTTCAAGATTCTGCAGCAATAATCTCTTTGTATTATAGTTGGATGACATGTTTTGACCTTCTCAGGGTGCAGAAGTCGAAGAATTAGAGACTAAGCATTTTGTTCTCGTCCATGGAGGCGGTTTTGGTGCTTGGTGTTGGTATAAAATTTCAACTCTACTCAAAGAAAGTGGATATCAGGTTGATGCCATAGACTTAACTGGTTCTGGTGCTCATTCTTTGGACTCCAACAACATTACCACTTTGTCCGAATATGTGAAACCCCTCACAAATTTCCTTGAAAAGCTCCCCATTGGAAATAAGGTTTGAACACTTACTTGCTCCTTGTTTCTATTCAATTAAAGAATTTGCTGGTGCTTTCTCAAACTTAAAAGCTGAAAGCATGCAAATTGGTTGTTTCTTGATCCAGGTCATCTTGGTTGGCCACGATATTGGAGGAGCTTGTGTTTCTTACGCAATGGAGTTGCATCGATCAAAAATCTCTAAGGTGGTTTTTATTGCTGCAGCAATGTTGATGAATGAGCAAAGCATACTTGATATGTTCTCGATGCAGGTTGGTTCTGAAGGTTTAAGTTTCGCGACCTAGTAATTACACTAGTAGTAATCCAATGGACATGATAACAAATTTTATTGCCTATGTTTCTGCAGCTTGGCTCGGATAATGTTTGTCAACGAGCTCAAATGTTTCTCTATGCAAATGGCAAGAACCATCCTCCAACTGCAATTGATTTCGACAAATCATTATTGAAAGATGTTTTGTTCAATCAAACCCCTGCTAAGGTATGTATTGTAGTAATCAACATTGTAGAACAGAGTTTTTTTCTGTTCCAAGTTGTTTACTTTCTCATAGAGATAGCCAATTTGACACTTTTTCTTTATTTCAGGATGTTGAATTAGCATCAGTATTGATGAGGCCAATCCCTTTTGCACCTTTGACAGAGAAGCTTTCCCTTTCTGCAACAAATTATGGTTCTATCCCAAGATTCTATGTAAAAACACTTGAAGATTTTGCGATTCCTGTGTCTCTTCAGGAGGCCATGATAGATTCAAGTCCACCTGAACATGTTTTCCAAATTAAAGGCTCCGACCATTCGCCGTTTCTGTCAAAACCTCAAGCACTACACAAGATTTTAGTGGAAATTTCAAGGTTTCCTCTAAAATGAGCTCTGTTAAATCATCCAGCTAAAATGGACCTCAGCACAGATGATTTTTTTCCAGGAAATGTGTTATATATGTAGATATCTAATCATTGATCATTAATAGAAGGCTCTCATTTTAATGCTTTAGTTTTTATTTCATTATTTTCTTGTCAATGAAAAGAGAGGAAAGTCTTATTGCACTATGATCAAGTGAGTCAATTTTGCACAGCAGAAAGTCTTATTGTACTATAACCAAGAAACTTTCTGAATGTAGATACTGTCTGATTCCTATCTCATTTCTTCTGTGTTTAAACTTCTATTGCTAATAACAAATGTAATAGTACTATTTATCCATATAGAAAATAAATTAATAATCAGACCTTATATTTTATTCAGAATTTCAGTTAAACCACAGTCCTTTCCAGGTTACAATCCATCAACGCAAGGGCGAAGGCACACTTGGGTTAGGGTGATCAACTGACCACCCTTTGTTAGAAAACTACACTGCTTATATAGATAAAATATTATATTTTAAAAGTACATAACATGAATTGAACACCCTTTGTCGGATTATTATTTCAAATTTAAATACCCTTGAGAAAATTTCTGGCTACGCCACTGCATCAACGTAAAGTCTAAATTCAAATAGTGATGGATGTGATATGTGACCTACATACCTAGACTGGATAACTACACGTAATAATAAGTAGAATTAATAGGTTTAGAATAGTAACTTAACGAAATGACTCATTAATAGAGTAAGATCGAAGAGAATAATGTCGTGATATATAAAACTAGATTATCCAAGAACTGTCATGAACTTCTAACTGCATGGACCACAAAACTGTCAAAGTATGAACTTGAAGCTCAAGCGATCTGAGCCCTAATCTGGGCAGAGACGAAGAATGAGAGAGCTTTCTAGAGAGAGAAATATTGAGCAAAGTTTTTTTTGTTGAAAATGAATCGACTTGTGTACATGTAGATATGCATTTCTACTTTGACAGTTGTCTACACCTATAACTACCTTCTAACATTACAAACTAACTAAACTATTCTTACATAATTAATTCTTTCACTAATTATGCCTAACTAATTAAACCTCAAGTAACTCATTTCTCAACACTCCCCCTCAAGCTGGTAGGTGCAAAAACATTTAGCACTCCCAGCTTGGAAACTAAGTGTTCATGTTGAGCTCTTAACAGAGATTTCGTTAATATGTCAGCTTGCTGCTCCTTAGAGCAGATGTGTTGTGTCTCCACTAGTCCTTGTTAAATCTTTTCCCTTATGAAGTCACAGTCGATTTCGATGTGCTTTGTCCCTCTCATAGTACACTGGATTTGCTGCTATATGTAAGGCTGCTTTGTTGTCACAGTACAGACTTACTGGCCTTTTTATCTCTATTCCCAGCTCTTTTAACAGCCCTGCCAGCCAAGCATGTTCTGCTACTGTTGAAGCCATGCTTCTATACTCTACTTCTGCAGAACTTCTAGAAATTGTGTTCTGTTTCTTTGACTTCCAAGAAATAAGTGAATCTCCATGCTTGATGATGAAGCCCGTGACCGACCTCCTAGTGTTTGGGCATGATGCCCAATCCGCATCACAATATGCTATCAGGCTATTTTCCTTCTTGCTACTCATGAGTATTCCCAATCCGGGTTCTCTTTTTATATACCTGACAATCCTTAGGGCTGCTTCCCAGCGTGATCTCTTGGGATTTTGCATAAATTGACTAAGCGTTTGTACTGCAAAGGCAATATCCAGCCTAATGAGGGTCAAATACAGAAGTTTCCCTATCAGCTTTTGGTCGTTTCCCTTATCTTCCATGAATTCATCATTTACCTCTACCTGCAAGTCTCCTAACTCTTTTTTTGTCAGCTTCTGATTGAACTCAAGTGGTGTCCAAGCAGGTTTAGTGTGATGACCAAAAATGTCATCTTTAAATTAAATAATCATCTCAGTGTTTTAAGACCTTGAAAAGCGCCATCAATAATTCTTCGACTTGCGTGCGCAGTCCGTATAATTTTCTGGAAGGTTTTTGTATGAAAAATGAACTAAATTATGAATTAGAGCTTTAAAACTCAACTGAGTTGACTTCAGTCAACATTTTGAGCAAACGAACTCGGATCCAAGTTTTGACCATTTCGGTAGTTCCATATCGTAATTTTGGACTTAGGA